AGAGATAATTAATTTTAACAGTATTTATTCTTCATTTTTGTACCTGTGTGTATATATATGAATCTGAGTTATCATTCAGCTTTATATACTTTTTCTATGTGTACATCACGTGCATTTTCCCACCTCATTAAACATTCTTTATCAGCATTAAAGGGCTGTCTGCCTGTTCATAACTAATTCCTTCTTGTTGACATTTAAATAGTCTCCTTTTCATTATAATGGATAATAATCTAACACCTCTTATTTAAAAAAATAGATCCCTAAAAATGCAATTGTTGGGTAATAGAGCACCCACTATGCTTAAGTTCTTGCTTACTAATACCAAGCAATTAAATTCACCATTAATGCTGAGCTATTTTTTCAGAGAGGTTATGCCAGTAACCACACCCATTAGCAAAACATGTAGCCATCTCATGTTACACTGGCATTCAGGATTGCCATTCAAAAATGCCAGGGGACTGTAAGGTCCGAGGGGACTATAAGGTCCTTGAGAACAAGGCTGTTGTTTTGATGAGGGCCTGGCACATAGTAAATGCTCACTAAATATTTGTTAGCCAACATGAATGATTCCAAAAGATCAGTCAGGACTGAGGATGCTGATCATTGCCCCCTCCTGGTCTAATGAGAAACTCTGTCATATCCAAGGCCTAAGCTGCTCTCTGGCTCCTCATCTCCTTGCAGCCTTCTCCTCTGTCCCTGCTGCAGCTGCTGGAACTTGGCCAAGGATGACAAACCAATTAGATTCTTTCCCTTAAGACCGAGCAAAGAGACACAGAAATGGAATGTGTTGGTATTAGAATGATCTTGGAAGATGCAGAGAGTGGCTACAAGCCATAGCAGCTGGAGGCCCCCACAGTCACCCTGGCTCCTATACTCCACAGGGCTGGGTGCTCAGTCTGGTCTGGACTCTTTGAGGGCTGGCTCCTTTCAAGCAGCCCCCTTTTAGCTAGGTGGATGTGTGCTCAGGTTCTTGTTCTTGGAACACAGATGCCTGGTAGAGATGTTCCCTTTGTCATCTTTTCAGACAATAGTCACAGCCTGCAAGAGGGACCAATGAGATGGGAAACTAGCACAGCACACGCTAAGCAAGATGCAATTTAACAAGGAGAATAAACATGTACAGTTTGGAACTTAGATTAAAAATAATAAGTCTGAATATGGAACAAGTGCTGTTTTCTTCAAAGAACTCTATCATGGTAAATGGCAGTTTTGTCTGCATTTATGATTTATCCGCAAGATGTCAAAGTTATCAACATTATCTGCCTAACTAAATGCTCTCTGGTGGCAGGGCTCATATTTAATTCTCCTGAATATCTCCATGGCCAAACACAATGCCTGGCCTGAGGCAGTACTCAATAAATGAGTGCAAAATAAATGTTGAAAACTAAAAAGTGGGAGAGTAGCAAAGTTTCTATAGGCCTACAGTTTTCAAAATCCCTAAGTTTTGCTTTGCTTCTTTCAAAGATGGTTGATGCTCTCTTAACTGAGCTCTACTTAATCCAAGCCCTTAATTCACCTAATCCCATACTCTTCATTCCTTTGCTAAAATGTCCAGATCAATGCCCTCGGCATGTAAAAGTTCAGTTAGATGAGTACTCTAGTTTACCAGCCTGTTTCTGTTCTTACCAGTTAGGTTGTATATTTACTAAGAGGTCATCTGTGTTTGTTTCCAAACCTGTTTATGTCAGTTGTGTTCATTCTTGTAGTTATGTAATCTAATTACTTATTACATAAATTAATGAAATATCTATGCATAAGGAAAGAGCTTCTGTTTCTGTAAGTGTTTTTGGAAAGACTTGATGAAGATGAGTACATTAAAAGAGCTACTGTCAAATCGGGTGAACAACTATAGATGACTGTAGTTGTGTGGGTGGAAAACATACAGGTCATAAAGATTTATATAACTTACTTTGTGAGTGTATAAATTCTTACAAAGAAATTGAATCTAGAAATTAAGGAGTATCCAACATGGCTATCATTCAAGCAAATAATGTGATGCAGAATTATAGTATATGAATCTATTAATAACTGAAATCTATTAATAACTGAAATAGGAATGTCATGAAATAGTATCTGCCCTTCTTCTACATAATGCACTCTGAATATCAATCTCTCTCCTAGGCAATTCAATTGTTTTTTGTTGGTCACGCCCCACTAATGTGATTTTGTAACTCAGCTTGAAAAGACACTGACTTAATCCCCTTCCTTCATTTTGTTGAGGAGGAACTGAGATTCAGGAAGATTTAAGGGCCCTTTTAAGGTCTCTCAGCCAGTGAGTCAGAATTACAATCCTTCTTCCCATAATCTGTGTTCTGCCTACTGGTCTACCCTGAGCAATCCTTGCTAAAAAAGCAACTGACCCAGCACAATTTCTTTTTCAAAAAGTAGAAGGTGGAATGAGGAAGTAGATGACAAGGATACACCTGCAGAGGCAAGGAAGAATTTCTCATTCTGTCCTGATGCTTCTCCAAGCAGTTCGAAGGCAAATATACACAGGTGTATGTGGTTTATCCCAAACTAATACATTCCAAGTCTCTTGTGCTATAGACACATATTTGGAGCAGGTAAACCACATACCTGGGTCAAACATGTGAGCTTTCTAATTTTAGAATGACTGCAGTTCCACATGGGTAAGCTCTAGACAATAAAATGGAGAAGGAGTTTGTAGTTCTGCAAAGCTTTTGTTAAGATGAAGCGAGCAATAAGCAGATCGTTTTCTTTCTGGCTGATCCATGTTCTAAATGTTTCAAAACAAGTAAAATCCTCAAAGACTTTCCTATAATCTGATCTGTCCTCTGTCTGTGTATCCCAGACCAAACTTACCCTCTCAACATCTTTAAGCCCAGAGTTCCCACTGAGATCTGCCTATCTCCCCAAACAAGCTAGTGATGGTAACAGTCTTCATGAATAACCCAACTGAATTTTCCATGTTCTTTCATCACTCTGAAAAGTTTCCAGATACTAAATTAAGCAAGCCCCCCAAACACCCGAATTCCAGGTGGACATCATTAGATATGAGCAAGAAGAGGCAGAAGTTCAGGAGTCTAAGGAGCTACCCTGAGTTTGCAGATCATGCCAGACAGATAGTGGAGGAAGGCCTAAATCCTGGCTCCCAGGCACCTGACCAAGGTCCTCACCACACCCCTTTGGTCATTAGAGTGAGTCTCATGAAAATATGAGAACCAGATGGGCGGCCTGGGAACTGTGCAACATTTCTGAGGGTTAAGCAAGCAGCCACCCAACAACGTAGCCAGAGTGCATTCTGTCCCTTGTAAGGGGCATTAAAAAGGTGCCTTTTGAAGCCAGGTCATAACTTCTTCCTTGGGAGGGTGTGACAGATATTCTAGGCTTTGGATGCTGCCACTTTCCTCCTGCCTCCAGCTAATGTTTCTCTTTGTGCTTTACAGATTGACAACCAAGCAGATAAAAAAATGTTCTGTCCCAAGCTCCAGACTACTGGTTTCCCTCCTGTAGCAATTATTTTCTAAATCCCACACTTAATAGTTAGTCAAGGTTGTCCATATCATTATGACACTCATGGGTTCTCATGCTGTCTGTGCATCTGTGAAACGGGCTCCTGGAGGGCAAAGAAGAGAAGGCCTGTTTCTCTGTATGATCCTAGCACCTAAAGTGTTAGAATATAAATACAAAATAGAATCTAGTTCCAAGAGAATACAGTACAGTCATTGCTTGGTATCCCTGTGGGACTGATTCTAGGATCCTCCCCCCTCCACATCTAGCCTCAACAAAACATGGCACAGAGAAGAGAGATGTTTTCTTCCGGGTCATCATGGATCACCAAGTGGCTTGGGCACCTTTAGGGTTCAAATGCATCAAGGATGACAGATCAAGGGAGGACCTTGGGGGTACAGCAGCAGGTGTACCCATCAGCAGTGGTAGTATCACCTCTGCTGACTTTGGAGGGAAAGGTAGGAAAGAGTGAAGAGCAAAGTACCAGGGAAACTGTGTGGTTGGTGAGAGAATTTATGAACACATGGAAACCTGCCCCTTTCCATGGGGACTTCAGTGAAGTTGCTAGGGAGAAATAGCAGCAGCAGATGGGAACAGAAGCCAGTGAAACACACTTTATATCAACAAGGGAGTAGAGACTGGCCTACTCACACATGGCTGAGATAAACCAACACAGTCTCTCTAGAAAGTTATTGGGCAGTGTGTACAAGGGTCATAAATGGATTATTCCTGCTCTTTGATATATATCCTGAGAAAGAAACCAAAGGAAGGAAAATCTTCCAGGCAGGAAGAGGTGGCATCATAACTTTAGAAACTGGGGACACCATAAATATCCCCTGAGGAACGGTTATTTAAATCCCAAACACCCATTTTAACAGAACACTGCGACAGTTTAAAAGGATTGATTTCAGGACTTTCCAGCAACATGGGAAAATGTACAACCTCAATTTTAAAAGAGTTTCTTCACCAGGATTAATCATATTAAAACATGAATGTACATGAACAAAGGCAACAAATTAGGTGCAAGTGTAACAGTGATCACTTCCCTGCAGTGCTATGATGCTGAGGGGTTTGCTTCCTACACTTTCCCGTGTCTCCAAACTGCTGATCTAGAATTTTTTTAAATAAAAAAGGAAACTGTTATCACAAATATCCAAACATGAACCAGAACATCACTAAGCAGAGATCACCAGGCAGAAGCAGAGAAGGGCATTCAGTAATCTGATCATTCTGTGAGCAGGAAAAGTGTAGATGGTTCTGAGCTTTCAGGTCCCGCAAGCCCTGTTCTGCAGCACACCTGCCCATGCTAGGGAGTGAGCACAGCTGCTCTCAGGCCTACAGTTAAGACCTCTCCATGAGCGCCCACCTGCCTGTGAAGAGAGAATGGAGAGGAGAGGGCTTCCTCTCAGGCACAGGCAGGTGCATGTGGGCAGGAGGCCCATGGAGAGAGCTCTTCAGGAGAGAGCTCAGGCCTTACAGCAGCCAAGATCCACACACCACTCCCCATTCACATCCCCAGCTGTACTCACCGCTCAGGGGCGATGTGCTGTTTTCCAGGGCTTGGCACACAGCCAACACAATACCTGTGGGGGGAAGCAGAGGGAAAAATTAAGCATCGACTCAGCAAATGGCATCCTCAGAGGATTGAAGGGCAGGGCCTCTGAAAGGCAAAGACTTGGTAGTTTTACAAAGTGGTCAAAAGATAGGCCTGGGTACCTCATTTATGGGGCTCAAGGCAAAATAAAAACATAGGACTCCTTTGCAGGAAAAAAATGCTCACAGAAGACACTAAAATATCAATGTTTTCCTTCCTGCCAGTCTTTCCACCTATCATGGTGCTTTATAGTTTCAAAAATTTGTTTTTATAGTGGGAAAACATGCCTAACATATTTGCCATTTTAACCACTTTTCAGTGTACACTGTAGTGACATTAAGTTCATTCACACTGTGATCCACGTCAAGGTGATTTTGTGTGCTGAGTATGTCACTACACTCCTTGCAGGAAAGCAAGGTGAGTGCAGCCCCTCATAGGCACACAGGGCCCCAGTGACAAAATGAACAAGGGACACACTGGCTGCCGGGCTTTCTCTCCAGCAGCAGCTGGTCTGATGTGCTGTGGCCCAGCTGTCTCTTCTTTCCAGGGATTGGCTTCCCCTAGCCAAGGTGGATGTGTAACCACCAAGGGGACAGAACTTTCCTTGCCAGGATATAGTAGGTACCTGGGTCAGGGGAAGTGGGGAGGCCTGTCCCTCTCTGATTGCCCACTGACATGCTGTGGAGCTGCCTGGCTAGGGTGGTGACAGCTGTCAACCATGTTTTAACCTGAGATGGCATAGGGTAGATGTTCCTAATCCCAACATTTTTAGTGTCCAGGTTCTACCAGATGCAGAGCATGGCAGGGACAACGACCCACCAGGGAAACAGGAGCTTTGGTAGGCAGCACTTTGGGAACCAAGGCTCTAAGCCTCCAGTGCACATTCACTGTCTCATTGGACTTACAAGACACAGATCCTAAGATAAAACCATAAGAATTTCAAGACTGCAACCACAGGGCATTAAACCTCATGTTCAGGATAAGTGTGGCCTCTGGGGCTGTGTGTGACCCACAAAACCACTCTGGCCAACAGATAACCTTGTGTGCCCTCATGGTATAGAACCAGAAGTTTTTGGAAACAGAACAGCAAAATTCCAATGAAGAAGGAAGCTTTCTTGAGTTCTGCAATCAGCACAAATTAACTTCTCAAAAGTGAAATGCAGGGAAATGGCACAGTGGCCATGCAGAAGGGATGGGCCTCAGGCAGGTTAGCCCCAAAGGCAGATGCATCAAGTCAGCACAGAAAACAGAAGTCCTGTTGGCTGCTTCTCACTGTACAGGACCCATGCAACGCCTGCCAGGCAGGCTACAGAGCTTTTTCCCCCCTTTCACTGAGGGTGGGAGGCAAACACATTTAGAACAGATAAAGCAATCACAGATAAAGCACTCACAATTTTGCTTCTGGCCTTTGACATGAGAAGCATCACAAGAACCTCTGACCCCTCTAACTGGGGCCTAGCATGGATTCCCTGATACGCCTTCAGAATCCTGCACAAGATACTTGGGCTACAGTTGGGGTCAGGGCAAGGAGATTGGAAAGTGTATATAAAATCACATACATCTTCTCTGTGCCATTTGCGGCCCCACAGATGCTAATTTTGGGAGCAAGCCTCTTACGATTGCTCGGGCACATTTCAAAGGGTGAGTCTAATGTACACACTAAGTGTTCAAGTGAGACATTCCTGCTGCAGCCAGGAAAAATCTCAGTGGTCATACAGTTGAAGCTGGGGAATAGTCACATTCTGACTTTGCTGGCACTGCCACAAACCACTCTGGATTCAAGCCAACCAGTGTCCTCCAATCATGTCAATGGGTGATATGGGAGATGCTTTGCATACCTGTAAGGGGGAGCGTGACTGGCCTGTTATAAACTGTGCCTAAATTAATGAATGATCTTCACACCTCCTTCCTGCCCTACACCCCATCAGTCAAGTCAACACATCACAATTCCTGGGCCCCACACGGCCTCTGGAGCACAAACAACAACTCTCCAGGAAGTCAAGGGCATGTGCTTGAGACACTTCCCTCCGTCTTGGGCAAGTTGCTTTGTCCCTTCTGTTCCTCACCTGTAAGCTACAAGCTGCCAAGCTCACAAAGGTGTTTCAGGAAGTAAAGTTTGCAAAATCACTGTGTTCCACAGATGAAAGATGCTGCATTTTTATTCATGATTTGAGTAGCACAAAAGAGTAATTCCTTTCCATACCCTCACACTGCCATGGAAAACAGCTTCTTGATGCCCTGGCCTCTCTCTGCAATCCTGATTTGTGCACAACTTCAGCTGAGGGGGGCCCTGTGATGGGACATGAGGCCTCTGTTTTCTCTTTACTACAGAGTGAGCTCCCTACAGGAGCCCTGGATCAGGAAGGGGCTGGGAAGGGGGTGGAAGGTCTTCTCTATTCTCAGGTGGGCACATATTAGTTCAGGCCTAGCACTAGGTTCTGTATGTGTTACCTTACTTTGTCCTCATAACAACACAGGCACCTCCCTGCCTTTCTGTCCAGCTGGTGGGAATACTCAATTGTGCAGATGAGGAAATTGAGATTTAGAGAGATTAGGAAATTTGTCCATTCTCCTGCAGGCAAACTCAGATCAAAGCCTGTGCAAATGCTGTGCCTAAGAGGGTGTTTCAGTGTTTAATCCCATACCATAGCCCATCAGGAAGCAGTGGTAGTTAGGATCCCCCAAAGGAGCTCCAACAACAGACTCAGCAGACCCAGTGGTTGAGGTTCAGCCTTCTCTTCCACAGGCCACAACCATTATCTTTTGGGATTTTCTCACTGCCTCCTATGTCCCATATGAGCAAGGACTTCTAGGGGCTGCCCATTAAGCCCTGGTGCTCAGATCTCTGCCATGGCCATGCTTGGAAAGTTTTCGTGTGTGGTGCCCTCCAGGAACACATGGCCCTGGCAGGCTCTGAAGCTCCTGAGAAACAAAGGAAAGAATGCAAGAGCCCAGCCCCAGGCCAGCTGCCGCATGCAGAGGTGGCTCAGGGACAGGCTTGGTAGACACAGCCACAAGTTCCTCCTATCTAAGTTTCAAAGCTGCCCTCCATGGGTCCTGGAGGCGGGAAGGCAGGCTCAAGGGCCACACAGCTGGAGAGTCACCCTCTGGGACAGGAATCCCTTTTAGGCTGCTCCTGCCAACATCCCATTTTGTCAGATAGCTCCAAAAAGGGAAATTCCAAGACTGTGGACTTCAAAAGGAAAAAAGAAAAGGTGTAGTGTTATGGGGAAAACTACACATAACGGAAGAAAAACCTTATGAAACCCAATCCCCACCCCCTAAACAGTCAGAATTGAGGCCTGCCTTTAAGGCAAGACAAGGGTTGCCATGATTTTAATTTAGCTGTTTGCAGCTCAGACAAAAGTTCCCAACAGAAACAATGCAAAAAGAGAGGGCAGCCTATTCACCTGGGAGTTCACAGAAGTAGAATCACTTTGAATCCATAAACGGACATGCCAGTGGGGAGTGCTGCTGAGAGCTACTGGGCACCTCTATCCTTCAGACCAGGGCATTTCAGCCTTTCTCCTGCATGAAACAATTCTGCACAGGGACTCAGGCTGTGCCTTCAGTGTGGGACACTCTGTCCTCAATTATCCAACACTTGGCAAATTCTTCTTCTGTGGGCACTCAGTTGCAGTACTGAGACCTGGGAGGATCGCCCTCAGGCCCAGGGCCAACCCAGAGGTGACTGTGTCTTGCTCTGGCCTCTGCTACAGCCAGTATTTGCTCCCAGACTCTTGCCTATCCCAATGGATGAGTCAGTGGTTCCCTCTAGACTAGTGGTGGTGAACCTATCGCACATGTGCCACAGCTGTCTGTCTGTTAGCCCTGAATGCTCTAACAGGTTTACCATCACTCTCTAGACCATCCAACTTCATGTCTTATCTGTGTTTGCACCCTTAAGCCAGGATTCCAGGATGAAGAGTGAGGTTCTGGTGCTGGGGAGATGTGGGGAAGTTGGAGGGAGATGCAGGAAGCTCTGGGTTCCCAGGAGGTGGTGAGGAAAGTCTTTGGGTGAAGACTGATGTGCCACAGGTGGTGGAGGAGTTGGGCCAGAGAGTAAGGCAGAAGGGAGTATTCAGCAGATGCCAGGTTTTCTTTCCCTGTCCTACCATGCTGGAGTTCAAAAGGAACAGAGCCAGGAGCTTGGGAAGCAGTGGGTGGTACCTAGAGGATAGGATCTTACACCCTAGCACAAGGTGTGCAGGGGGACCCAGATAGGCACAAAAATATGTGTAAATGGGTCACAGAGAACACAGGGGCTGGCAGCATAGGATCATGGTATCTTCCCTTAGAAAATATATTCCTACACTTAAATTATCTGAACATTGCAGAATTTTCCCTCCCTAGCAAAAATTGCCGTTGTACAATTAATATTTTTAAATCTAAGAGGTTGATAGCTAGGTGAAGGTATCTTTAGGGTGAGAATTAAACACGAAGAAAAGGGAAAGGCAGTTCAGACATGGACTAGGAGGGGAACTGGTGGGACAGGGCATCAGAGTCTATCCATACATAGCAGAAGCAGCAATGTGGCATTCCCATCGGAAAGCTGTGCTTTCTCTCCTGGGAAGAGGTACCAGTTCACTGCTCCCAGCAATGCCAGTACACTCCAGAGGACAGCAGGTGAACCTGCAGAGGAATTTGTGGAAGAACTTGCTAGATGGCTTAGGAGAACTCAGGATGGTAAAGAGAGTTTAGAAATATGTGACATGGAAATGAATCACCTTGGGCAGATGGACCCATGGGACCAAAGCCTCTGTCACCATCTCAGCCTCCCAGATTGGTTTCTGCAATCCAAGAAGAGAGTCTGATGGAGAAATTACAGTGAAAGGCTAGCGTGGTGTTTTGGATGGCAGATACCGACACACAGAGCAAAGATACCAACGATGCAGGGTGGGAGCCACTGTTAGTTACAAAACCCCCCAATCAGTGAGGGACTGATGCCTACACTCAAACACAGCCATTTACAAGCCAGCACACAAGCTA